GGCGCTTAACAYCACCATCTCGACATATAGACCGTGTGATGTGCACCCACTAATGAATAACAAAGAGTCTAGTAGYTAACCTTTTATAAAATTCAAGAGAGTCGCRGTTTCTGTGTTCTAAACGAGGGCTSAAAAGGACTTTCGAAATCCTAACCCAATTAAAAATCGTAATAACTTTCTCTACCAATAAAATTCAAATTAGAAGTAAAACCCAATGGTCGATTTTAAATACGCCACTCTTCGATCAATATCTGCAGTCTTTTCAAATTAGCTTGAAACGACTTTAAACTCTGCGCGCTATTGTCCCATAACGGGATACTGACCAACGGGCCTCATCCTTTATAGACGATGTTGACACTGCTAATAGTAGGGGCTTGTGCCCGACGGTAAGGAGGGGTTTATGACCCTCCTTGGAGGGTGATAAACTTCCTACCTATGTGGCTGTAGGTTCCCTCTTTTTGAGAGTTCAGTCCCCGACGCTCAACAATTTGCTTTAATTAGATGGAACCGATTTGCCAGAGTTCGACCAATCTAGGCCGCCCTCTTTAAAGTTCCAAGCGAACGAACAGTTTATGCCCCCGCAAAGTGATAGAAGGGGAACTAAATTAAAGGAAAATTAATTAACATAGAATAAAGGAATACAAATTCTTATTTAAAATTGAGTCGCCGCGTACGGTTGATCGTTTGATTAATCCAGAAACAATTGCAGCCTCTATTAAACGTGGATGAAAATGGGCCTGCTTTGAATGCTCTAATTTTTTCAAATTAACAGCGCCGACTGTGGATTCCAACCAATAAAGGCAAGGAACGCATACCCGGCAAGAAAGGCGAAAGGGCCCGTACATGCCCGCAAGAACGGACCAACCCCTCCCACCCAAAATCCAACTACGAGCTTTTTAACTGCAACAACTTAAATACAAGCTATTGGAGTTGGAATTACTGCGGCTGCTGGCACCAGACTTGCCCTCCAATGAATCCTCGTTCAAGGAGTTTACGACTGTTCTCATTCCAATTACCGGACTCGAAAGAGCCCAGTATTGTTATTTTATGTCACTACCTCCCTATGTCAGGATTGGGTAATTTACGCGCCTGCTGCCTTCCTTGGATGTGGTAGCCATCTCTCAGGCTCCCTCTCCGGAATCAAACCCTAATTCTCCGTCACCCGTTAGGGCCGTTACCACCATGGTAGGGTTCTATCCTACCATCGAAAGTTGATAGGGCCGAAATTTGAATGGAACATCGCCGGCTCAAAGGCCATGCGATTCGAAAAGTCACCATGATTCGCCGCAACAACGGGCAAGCTCGGATCGACCTTTTATCCAATAAATACGTCCCTTCCTGAACTCGGGATATGCTGCACGTATTAGCTCGACAATTACCACGGTTATCCGATTGGTAAGGAGACCACCAAATAAATGATAACTGATTTCATGAGCCATTAACAATTTTTATTTATTTATTTATTTATTTTAATTATTTTTAAATTGGACATGTTTCACAGTGCACAGTGTTCACACTTAGACGTGCATGGATTAGTCTTTGAGACAAGCACATGACTACTGGCAGGATCAACCAGGTAGGGGGTGTGACGAGCAACCGCAAGGAGCGATGGCCGAGGCGCACGTAGGCACGTCACGTCGGACAACCTACCAAAAGAACGTCGAACAATCGTGGAACGTGCAATGAGCTGCCGAGACGCCGCGAAGTCCGGCTGTTTGAATTGCAGGTGAACGTCCCTCCGTAGGCCATCTCCAACGGCAAGGTACTGCACAATCCAACACAGCCCGCCACACCCGCTCAAAAGATTGGCTGTGAACAGCACCCRCCCACACCACACCCTGAGATCGCTAGATAACCACACTATCCGAACAACGGCGCGCGCGAAGGAACCACCGACAGCTTCGGCCCATAGCCAGATGCCACCGCCCGCCCAAAACGTACCGACAGCGAAGTGCACCGCTTCATCTCTCCATCGAGAAACGCGGGTGAATAGAGAAACGAATGCACCACGCTTCCAACATGCCCGGACGGACGGAAAGCCTCCACCTGTGCACGGGGGCGCAAAAGGAACACAACCCCTTCCCCCTGGATCCACATGCACTGGTTGCCACGGGCACCACCAACAGCACTCGACGCAGGCGAAACCCAGGAGAGACAGAGGACAGTAGCCTTCGARGCCCACAACCTAAACGCAGCAGAACCACAACGCAACGTGATCCGTCACGGTGTGCAGCATACCGAGACCACAGGATAGGGGACACGACGGGCACAAGTGCGCATTCCAAGAAGTCCGGCGGATGAAAGGCCCAACCTCGCGACACCGTCRGAGGGTGTATCACGCATCCCACAAGTCTCCGCCCTCGCATACGGTAAGCAGCGGGTGCAGGGCCGAGGCCACCTGCGCCACCGCTCAATGGCGGCGCTCGGATGGCGAAGAGCGCAGAGCGTCCTCACCAAGTCGTGACACCCCCTCAACACAAACGGAACGCGCCGTTGTGAGTGCGGACACGAAGACGACACCACAACAGAGCCGCAACAGCTCTCCCCGTAACCTACGGGA